ATATATATATATATATATATATATATATATATATATATATATATATATATTGAGAGTAAAGTTTTATAGATATAAACGACACAATGATTCAAGTAAATAAAATCTAAAGATAATTTTTAATAAATCACTGCGACGCCCCTGGGAGCCATGACCTTCGGTTTGAAAACCCCTGTTCAAACTAATGAAAAAAAAAGACAAAACGCGATTCCCCTATCCTTATTAGACTGTACAGCTTTATACTACGTACCATTTCATCATAAAGCTTTTGAATAAATAATGTGTCCACTATTTTGTGAATAAAATAGTGAACATAATATGAAAAAGCGGACTGTCCGCTCAAATAGTGGACACGTGGCAACCATAAAGGCGTTCGCACTCACACACTCGCGAGACGCCGTGGTTAGTCTCTCAGGCGGCACCTGGCAAGAAGCTTGGCATACCCAGGAAGCTAGCCTTGACATAAGAGAATTTACTCGGGATTTTATTTTTTGGCGCGCGATGCCTTGTCTTCATAATGGAATATCTCACGGTATTTCGCGTCTTTTTGGTCGTGCCGCTAGATGCAGCATTATCGCGACCGTATCGAGCAGTATCGAGCGACATCTAGCGGCACGACCGAGAAAGACGCGAAATACTATGAAATATTCTATCGTGAACACAAGGCATCACGCGCCAAAAAATAAAAAACCAAGTAGCAAACTAATTAGTTCAGAAAATCTGTGCCATTCTGGAACTCCAGCAGTTAGTGTTAACAATTTTTTTTCTAAGTTACTTCATCATAATACCTTTAAAACTGTACGAACAAATAATAAGACGCTAAAAATATGATGTAATATACATTAAAATGAACATGCTTATGAAATGAACAATAAACAATTTGTAGTTATTTACTAATAGACTTCGATGATATAATAGTTTTTATCCAGCATTTCATTGTCTGTAGATAAAAACTAATTTAGGAACAATGCACACACAGAGCAAGTTTCAAGAAAAGCACGTTTAAAGCTTCAAGCATATTCGTAATTTTAGATTTGGAGTAAAATGTTGGCTAATTCCACATGAAGTACATCTTAAAGAAGATGAGCATTAATACAAATGGAAATTCATTGGTACTCACTTAAAGAATAAAATTAATATTGTTAAAAATAATGAAAACATTAGTTAATCTTACTAATTTTAATAATATTAACCCTTTTCCTTGTGTATATTGATAAAATACCACTGCAGTGGGAAGGAATAGGAAAGCTATTAAATAGAATATATTTCAAAAACTGTCAAACGTTGTAAGTTTTTTGATGAAATCAGTTGTTTTTAACAGTAAGACCTTTTTAGTTCAGATAAGAATGGTAACACTTTTTTGAATGAAGAATGCCTTTTTTCTGAACCATGCTAATAGGTGATGTCACAAGCTTATTCGATAACGTGAACACAAGAGAAGTGTTTTAAGAGCTTGAAACTATAAGTACTCAAATTTAAAGATTTTGTGTATTTGGGCAATATTGCACCAGATCCCTCAAATGCATAATATCTATTTAAAAAAAACCACTAAAACAAACGAACAATAATGTAATGATAAATTTAAAACTTCATAATTACTTTAAAAGTAGAAAACAGTTTCAGGATAAATGAATCACTTTACAATTTTGGTTTTAAGTAAAAATATATAATACATTTATCATCATCTATCTATTTAAAAATATTATTTAAATCAAGTTAATCTGAACCATAAGAAAAGCAGATAATACTCATGGATATTCCCTGCTCGCACCACAACCAGCCATTCATACAACTTTACTTTGAAAATGCGCGCCAAAGCGCAACAGCTGCGCTATCTGCACCAGGTCCGTGAATGAGGAAACAAACTTAGTCCCCCGCCCTCGCCCAGGGCCCGGCAACTCTCCATCAACACTGGGGACAAAGCTCGAGGTTGCTATTATAGGAAGCGCTAGTGTCGCCGGGTGCAGCTGCAAGTTAGGCTCGCCAACTTTCCCACATACAAATTGGCTAATTTGTGAGAAATACGAAGTGTCTTATAAATGTACTATTATTCATAATCTATACTTATAAGAAACCTCTGAAGAATGCGCGAACATAGACGTTATCTTTTGCAACATTATGGGCCTGCTTGCGACCTGCGAACTCACGCAGTAGCCACGCACGTTTAAAGTATCGTTGGCAGCAGTTCGTGTTTTAGTTCATGTAAAGGTGATGCAGCAGAGCGCGCCACCGTAATAGTCTCCACCACGTTATATGGGAGTTGTAGGGCCCTGCCCTCGCCTTTTAACATTGAGTGAACCAGCCGTGGTGCTGGTATGGATCGTGATTTATGTTAGCATTGTAGTGTGCGAATTGTATGGGGTGTGTATGTGCCAGCTAAACATTAGAGCACTGATCATATCCAAATATCTCAGAGAAAAACAAATATGTTACGACAGTTGCAGTGTTCTGCCTCTGTGCGCTTCTTTCTGCCTCCCGACATTATGAACGTTGTGGCAAATCCAGTCTGCAAACAATCTGTACGTTGGAGAAGAAAACCGCCGGGAACACCGCTTGCTAAAAGCAAATTATTTCGCATTCCACCGCGACCTCAGGTACCTGAAGAAGAACGGATTGAACTATTTAGACTTACAACGAATTATAACACGTTCATAAAATCAGTGAGGTACTTTACTTTCACGGCGTAACATCTTCATACAAATTAATGTATTATTCTGCTGACCTTTTTTTTTTTTTTTTGCGCGTAGAGAATTTCTGCGTGAAGAAGTACAGTCAGCTGCTGGAAAAGAACAACTTGCAGATGCTGTTAGTATGGATGATGATTTGATTAGATGTAAGGAAATCAATGATAAATGGAATGCCGAAGTCGCTCTAATTCGTGAAAAGAGATTGCTTCACGAAAAAGAGGAAAAATTGAATTTGATTTCTAAACGACTAGAAGAAAGGAAAACAAGGGAGAGAAATCGTGTTGCAGAAATCAATGAGTTAGTGAGGATGGAGAAGGTAAACTTAAATCTTTATTATTTTACCATATTGTAATTTTTTTATGCCACATTAATGTTTTTTTCCCCTTCTTTAGGAAAAAGAGAAGTATTACATCACCTCTGAAAACATTGATGAAGCTATTGAAAATGCATTAAGAGGGGAAGTAGATTACAATTTTGCTATTGATGTAAAAGGGAATATTTATAAAGGTGAAGTTGCAGAAGAAAATTTAGAAAAAAAAGCGGTTGAGACAGTGTAACATTAAAACAATAGCATTTATTAAAAAAGTACCAATAAATTAGTGAATGTTTGTCATTTCATCAATAAATACATCTATGAATTTTTTTTAACTTTATTAAACAACTACATATAAAAAAATAACTCAATCTATTTTACTCAGGTTCTTCCCAATAATATTAGATAGTCTTGCCAATATTCCTTCATCTAATGAAATATTATTAATTAATTTTTGTGCCATCTGCTCTGCATCTGAGAATCCTGCATCAGCACTGTATTGTACACATCCCTAGAAAGCAAAAGAACATTCTATAAATTTCAATTTCTTTAATTTCATGCAAGAAAAATTGAAAGATCACTTCAAATGCCATCAGCTCTAATTTAAATTACAATGAAACTTGTCTTTAGTGGTCACAAAATATTCCAGTGAAATTGACTTAATAGCCATCCAGACAATTTTGGTAAGATTTCCCTCTGAAATCCCCTACTGGATTTTCACAACTTTTTATCCCATCACAGTTGACTGTATATACACTGCTCATTGTCATATAAGAGAAACTTTGTTTTTATGCTAACCGAGTTGAATTTTCAAGTTAACTAGACTTGAATCTGTAATTCCCTATCCTAAAGGAATTTCAGGATATGCACAAAAATAATCTATGGTTATCTGAAACAGAAATTAATTCCTGACAAAAATGATTCTACATATCTGTTCAAAGTCATTTGTGCCTTAACACAAGAGGATATTTGATCAACAATATCTTTGCTCTTTTGTTTCCTCTTGTAATTGAGATCCTTAATACAATAAGAAGTTATTGTAAAATACAATTCAATATGCATCTGACTGTAGATCCTGGGGCCACTTAAAGATAAAAATATATATGTGTGTCTTATAGATCAAACAGCCCCTGAGAAAATTAATGGACATAGTAATTTCAGTGGGTTTCACTCTGTCTTTAACCATTGCAATAAATTAAACGTCAAGAAGGAAATTGTTCAAATTTTTCTTTCTTACACATTTACGTACCTATCGTTAGACATTATAACTCACTCTTTCATGCAGGCAATTTGTGAGGAAATGTGTTGTTAGAATCAGCAAGACTTGATATCAGATTGGGTCATCCAAATTCCATAATGTCACACTTTCTCTACTATAAAACAACATTTTTAAAAGGGTTTTTCTATTTTCTCTCACAACATAAATCTTATGCATCTATATGCACCTTCCTTCCTCTTAAAACCACAATCTTGATGAGATGTTCGAAAACAATAATTACAGAAGAATTTGTAATGTTAATAAGCAATTACGAAATTATGATTGTTTAAAAGGTTTGAGATACACGACTCTCTTTTGCCATCCACACCACAATTGCAAGGTAAAAAAGTATCCAGGTAACAACTCTCTTCAAACCCTCATCCCTTCTGACGTTGCATAGCATACCATAACCATCTGCCCTTGTGTTTCTTCTGGGTTCAAAAACTGCTTGAGAAAATATTGTAATACCCACATCAAATAATTTTCAAAAAGATTCTACTTACAATAGCTGCTTTTACATCCTTCTCCTGGATGCACCTGTCAAGAAACAAATGGAGAACTTCTACACGAGGAACGCCAACAATATTTTGTTGAGACCTGTTCAGTTTGTCCAAGATGATGCAGGACTCTTTGAATTGGTTTGCTCTTAATAGAAGTGTCATCATGTCTCCAAGTATTTGTCCAGTCCATCTACATAATTCAAATTAAGAGCTTCTTAATTATAACTTTAACTAATGTAGGTCCATAAAGTAATAAAATGTACTGAACAACCCCACCTCCATTGTCTGTATCTATCTTCTTCAACATCTTCCTCTTGCCTTTTCCAAATGTCCCAAGCTATATTTCCAAATTGTGAAATTAATTCACTTTCTTCTGGAAGGTTATTTCGAGCCATGCTGTCCAACAAAGTAGTAACAACATTTTCTCTTTCTACATGATCAAATACAACCATATCAGACCATATTTGTGGCACGTATTCCATTGCACCATTCATATCAATGGTTTTGATGACCTCCTAAATACCAGAAATTTAATTATCAGAAAAATGGCAAACTCAAGTAAGCGAGTAGTGCTAAAAACTGCATATATTTTCTCACTATATTTCTAACGGCTCTGCAATATTACGTTATTAAATGAATCTGATTCTGACTACTACACATGTTAAAGGAAGAAATTTACTATATAACATGATTTATCTATTTTTTCAGGGCCAGACTAAGAATTTTTGTCTTTAAAATTCACCATTTCCTATGCACAATTACAATACTTTCTCTTCTATGAAGTAGGGGTAAAAAAAGACATGCATTTACCAACATTAATGTGGAATTATTTAGTATCAAAAAAACCCACACCACCCCTGAATATTTGTCCTACTACAATAGCACAGATGCATCGAAAATTTCTCCTCATAAACTAACTAATTCTTGACATTTAAAACTCAACCAAATAAAATTGTAATGAAAATTACATTTTACCCAATTGGTATTGAAAAATGGTAATTACTAAAACATTATAAAACGCACACAACTGCTTCATAGCAAATGTAAGAGAATTACATATAGAATTAGTAAATACAGTAGTTCAGAGAATTAATGATTGTCAAAACATTTTGAATTGGAGAGTAAAAGAATTCAAAGGTTGGTGACCTCTTCACAACAAGACAACAGTATTACATATATTGTTGAATCACACTAATGGGAAACAAAACTGACTACTGTATTACTACACTTTCTCTACATTTCTTTACATTCTTGTTCAGAAAGATTTATGTAATTAAAAAAACTCTCTAACGTGATTAATGGGTTCCTACCAAATTTTCCTTACCTCCATCACAGCAGGTTCTGGCGTGTAAATATGTGGCACAATTTTACGATACAAGTCCATAAAAACATCCAAAGATTCCAGGGTACACATTAAAACAAAGAAATGTCGACTGAAAAAAATAATTATAAAAGTCATTTCCATATTTGAAAGCTCAATAATAATAATAATAATAATAATAATAATAATAATAATAATAATAATAATAATAATATACAACTCACTAGTATATTGATTCCTTATATGAATCACCTATGAGAATATAATTGTTTCCAGTATGCAACAGTTCATCAACACGATAAGCCAGATCTTTATCTTGGAGGTGATTTCTACACACATCCATTGCTGTGACAAAAAAATAAGTATCTTTTGGATCCTGGACACTGAATTCTTGCCCTTGAATAGTATCCATGATTTCAACAAGAATATTGCTTATAGGACCGCCTGAAATATTTGAGAAATCAATAATACAATAAGAACACAATAGGATCTACAGAACATATTTCATTTATGAAAATACTCACGTTGTTTACAAAATGTAATTAGTAGAAAATAGTACGATGCCAATGTTGGCTGTATGTTAAGGGCTTTAAATTCTGATAAAGTTCTTAAAGCATATTCTTTACTTTGTCTCTGGTTAGGCAGGGTGCTCACTGCTTCCAAAACAGCATTAAGAGTCCCAACATTTGGATGGATATTCTTTTTTGCCATTTCTTCCAGCAATTCCTATAATGCCACAAAACAAACATTTTATGTCTTTATTTAGAGAAGTCATTGACTTTCCTGAGAAACAAGACTGAGTAAGCACTATGCACTAGTATGTGCTACATTTTACGAGATTTTCTTCTTCTGAAATACTTTTCTTATAATGATGATCAAGGTTTCTTTAAATTCTACAGACATAGGGCATACTGGTGCAAAGCTGTAGATAAATACCTCAAATATCTAGACACTAATTCATAGACAATTGAATATAACATAGAAAAAACATAGTAAAAGAATTAAAGTATCTATCTATATAGCGTTTTTTTTTTTAGCCTCTGCAGTTTTCTGCATCCCAATTTCCATGCCTCTTTATTCCATATATTGTTTTCCTCCATTTCTCATTTTTCCATGGCTTCAGTTATTGCCATGTTCCACGTCTTCTTCAGTCTTCCCCTGTATCTTCTTCGATTTGGTATCCACTCCCATTCTTTTGGTGGAAGTCTTTCCGATTTCAATCTTCTCAAATGTCCATACCATTTTAGTTGTTTCATTTCGATTGTCTCGTTCAAGGTGGTTTGCACTTTCATTTTATTTCTTATTTCATCATTTCTCATTTTGTCTAACAGAAAGTTTACAACATCTACGCCTGAACATCATTTCTGTTGATTGAAGTTTGTCTTTCAAATTTTTTGTTATTGTCCAGACTTCTGCCCTATAGAGTGTGGTACTCACAGAATTAAAGTAACAAAGCCTGATTTATACAAATCATTGAGATATTGATTATTCATGGAATATATTTAGATGTTGACATTTTAAAATCCGTTTGCCAGATTTATATGAGAGTATAAAAAATTAATAGCGTAATCAGAGAAATTATGCCGTATTTCAAGATGATTAGTACGTCACAGACACCAACCTTCATTACCTTTTTTGTTTTGAATTTGAAATATTCACAGAATGAGAAGAGAGAAAAAGAAAATAAATGAAAGAATAAATAAATACTCAAATTTGGATCAAAAATTTTTTATTAAGGACATCTGTACGAATGTAGAGTGAAATTGTTCTTTTTTATTGCTCTAGATAGGGTGTAGATTATGCCAATATAAATGTTTTGCATCTTTTGGCCTTTAAAAGTTGATTTAAAAAGTGTTTGGGGACCAGACCTTTTATGCTGCTCTACCATTTTGAACCTTCTTGAATAGTATTATATTGTCTTTACAATGTGTTGTTGTTGTTTTTTCATTTAATTCATTTGTTTATTTCTACTCTTCCACTATAAGCGGTGGTGGAAGAGATGAAATATATTTGCACAGATTTTAATGACTAATCTTTTGAGGTGCTTGCATGGCCGCACCCAAAATCTCCCCAAACAATTTTATCATTGCTTGTGCGAAAGAAATCCCCAAAATACTTTTGTGGGCATTGAAACAATGTAATTTGGTGTGTTGGATGTAGTTTCAATTATGGATCCATGAAAAAGTTTCGAATTTTGGAAAAGTTTAATTTGGTTACAACTGCATTTCAAAAACCTGACAACACACTAGCATTTGAAGCAGAAAAACTTGTCCAGACTACCAGTAAAAATGCCAGAATTGATAAACAGGTTGAGGAAAGGAAAAATGAAGTTGAAGAAGTGTGTTGAGTATGGAAAAGAATAGTTTTAATGTTGTTGAAACTATAGAAAGTGCTTTTTATTCTTTGATAATGTTTACCTCAATGTTGAAAAATTAAATTTTGGGGAATAGATATCTGTTCTGTATAAATAATTTCTCTGTAAGCCAACTCATAGCTCAGGGGAAAATCACTTGCCTTTTGCCAAGGAAGTCCGGGTTCGATTCCTGGACAATCTCATGTGAAATTTGTTCCATCAAAATGGGCTTGACTGCTTCACAGGGGCTAGTCCAACCCTGTGCTAGTCCAACCCCTGTTTAGCATCCTAAAACCCTACCACTGACCTAATTCCTTCCCAAGTCTGGCACAGGGTAGTGATGCAAAAGCATGCGTAAAGAGGAGGCATGTACACAGAGATGCTACCTGGCGGACCTCATGACTATTGACTACTCTACCCCTAACATTAAATCAATAATGTGGTGGCTAACGACCTTGTAATTAATGCAACCTTAAAACAAACAAAATTTCCCTGTAATTACTGTGAAAAAGATTAGCCTCCAATTTATAAAACTGATTATAATAATAAACACAGACACATCCTCCACAGGCATCCCAATAAATGCCAAAACTGACTCGTTTATAAAATATATAAATATAAAAATAAAAAATTGCCTACCTGCACTAACTTCCAACGATGTTCAAAACCTTCTTTAAGAAAATGAACAACACGAATTAATGAGTTATATGTTTCTGTATGAAGTATAATATTTTTTTCCAGACATTCTTCATAAAGTTTCCATGCACGCTCTGCCTGACAGTATCGTGTCATGCCCTGAATTATGGCACTGTATGCCTTTGAGTCCTTTTGTTCAAAACTTAGAAAAATTTTCTCTGCTAGACTGTTGTCCCTAGAAAAGTACACAAAAAAAGACATTTGGTACACAAATAGGCAAAATTCCTTCATATTTGTCAAGCATATAAAATGTTTGCATATCTTGATGATCTTTTTCAAACGTGTTAGTGTAAATAAAACCATAAATATTGAATTCACAACAACAGAATCATAAAAACAGATAATTTTCAACTAATAAACGAACATGTTTTATTTGTTAAAAGAAAACTGAAATATAAATTTACATTATTTCTTGTTATTAATTTAAGATAATGAAATTTCAATTGGATTGCACTATAATAAATAACTCGCTCTCTTCTCAGTTTTGCCTTTCAATTTACATTTCTTTTATTATACTATGCACTCTGACAGGTTGTACATTATATGTAATGTCTGAAGTTATATGTACTAGATTGCTGGTTCTCATTCTGCAGATGCTTTATTGTGTTTTGTTATGCATTCAAAAAAAGGTCTGCCATAAATCAACACAAAAAGATATTAAATTTTCACTTTCACTGAAGTAAATGCCCACTGAATCTTTGCCTATAGGGAAAAGTCCTTCACTTTACTTTACTTCACTTCAATATTACATAAGCAAAAACAATTAGTATAGAATTTATTTCATTTCTGAGGAAACTTCAAATTTTAAAACAGCGATTTAATAATTCAAGAATTACCAACAAATGACAGCCTGAACAAGAATATCATCAACCATTTGAAAATTCAAGGAAAGTGTTAAGAGCACAAGATATACCTTCGTCAATATAACAGACTCCCAATTCCATTGTAACACGCCAAAAAAAGTATTTACTAGGCTGTCCAGGTGATGCCGCGTCCATGGCGAAGGTGCCGACGTTTCGGTCGCCATTCTGCGACCTTCCTCAGGGTGTAATGCAGGCACCTTCGCCATGGACGCGGCGTCACCCAGACAGCCTAGTAAATACTGACTCCGGCCGCGGAAGCCTACGCTCACCTCAAAAAGACATCCAAAAATATCTTATTTTAGTATACTCATTGAAAATTCCAGGAACCGCAGTTGATTCACCACATTTTTAAATAGAAATTTTCTAGAGTACCAATTGTACTGCACCTATCTCAACTTCCAATATATTAATAAGCAATTTTCAAAATTTTAATATAACCAACTGGTAACTGCTAACTAATTAGTAACTGATATTAGACATCATGTAATTGGTTAATTGATTGAAAATGTAACTGGTGCACAAAATGACAATGTAAGAAATTTGTTCAGAATACCCCTGATGCCATTTATAATGGATTGCATCATTCACTTAAAAAATTATTCGAATTAGCAAATATCGCAATTTCATAATACGCACTTCCATGTTTTTCGAAGCTTTTCTCGTCCTTTCGTACTTAGGTGAAACCAACGTTCTTCCAGGAATTCCTCTGGAAGAGGGTCTTCACAATTGAAAAAACACAACATCTCCAAAAATGACTGTTTTGTACTTCCTGAAACATCTAGAACACAGAAAAAAAATTCCAAGAAAACTTCATATTTCAATAATTTTATCCAAAATCAATCTATGCATTAATACATACTTATTCCTTTTTGTTCCAAGAGTTCATAAACTTTTATGGCATCTGATACTTGAGCATAATAAATAACTCTTTTCAAAGTGTTTTCATCTACTGCTGAATTTTCATCATAGACAGTCATAGGTGTGTAGTTCTACAACATGAATATTTCATTAAGAAACGTCTTTAATTTTTTCAATTTTCTTCATACAATATTCAATGGATTGTATTTTTAAAAATTCATGCATGGTTGATATCTTAGCATAGTGTTAGAGAAAGCAATTTTCATCAATGTAAAATTTCCCAGATAACAAATGCACCCAAATACCCAGATAAACAAAGATTGGCTTCTGGCTTTAAAAGGATACCTGTATGTGATACAAATATTTTTCCTACTCAGCTGTTAACTTTTTTATTTATAATATTATTCATTGTGTTGCTAGATTCAAGTGAAACAAGTAGTGCAACTGATACTTACAAAACTAAGGCATTTTTCATGCTGTAACACATGTGAAGTCTATTATTAAGAATACCAAATGGTTGTTTAGAACAAATACTTAATATATTTAAATACTTAAAGTTATTAAAATGGTACACCTCAGGTGGACAGGCGAGCTAGTTATAGATCCATACATGGTAGAACATTGTGCACCCACAGTGTTCAATACCAACACGTATGATGACTGAAAATTGCCAGTGGCTTGACAAATACTAACAAGAGATATGAATCATCATCCCTAACGTGGAAGGCTAACTCGCAGATTATTGTGTAGTAAGTGCTATACCAGAAATACAAATTAGCAAACTAAACAGCTCCCAAGAGTAACAGTGGTTAATTAGGGCTATTGTAATAACTTTTTTCTATTACATTTAAATATATGCAGACTGTAGTATGTTCACCAAATAATGTTTCTCTAGTGAGAAATGCAATTTTTGTAGTGCAGGTTAAAAATATGTAAATAGTATCCAGTCCATAATTCAGGTGAGTTTTGTCACAATTTGCATTGTTTAGTTAGACTATATGTTACTTAGATCTTCAGTTATAAATATAACATCAAAATAACAAATTACATAATTTCATTATTTTTATGAGGTTTTTTTATAGTACACATTTTATGTATTGTTAATGCATTTACACTTGTTTTAAATCTCATAATTACATACATATTTTACATTTTTTTAATGCATAACAATTGAGCCCTATCTATGTATATAAAAATGGATGCTGGTACATACAGGGTCTTCAGCTTAACTCGCAAATTATGTCTGGAAACACCGCTTCTTGTTTTGGCAAATTGCCTTTCCTATCCATTTCACTTTTAGTGGCCCACAGCCGCATACCATCAGATTACCGAGTGAGAGAATGTGGCTAAGTTTAGTTGGAAGAAAGAGAAAGCACTAATTCTGTCCTTGTTTGTCTTCAACATACTGCAGTCACTATATTGAAAAGAGTACACGCCTGTCTCATGGCAAATGGTGGTCACTTTGAGCATTAGCTTGATTATAATTTTTTGGGAGAATTTTAGGAAGTTATATTTTATTATTAACTATTTTCAATACTGATTTATGTTTTATTGGTACTTTATTTTTACTATTTTAAGGCTTTATTTGTTTAGTAATCAGATTCAATGATAATGATGATGATAATAATAATAATAATAATAACAACAACACATTATTGTTATAAATAATGAAGAGCTTGGCAGTAATGTTTCAGGGGATATCTTTCTGATTTCTCTGAGCCGACTATCATAAAATATTAATTATTGTTATGTTAGTGTTAATAAATTGATAAGCAGTCATAATTTCCTTCCACATCTTCATTATTACAATTTTTTTACTAAGCATGCTGGACAGAATCGCATAAAAATAAGTTTTGTTTCTTGCTCATGTTTCTGCTCACCCCACCCAGACTGCAGCACGAAAAGCTTCCGGCATTTAAGCCATGTACCTGCATGCTTAAGCTCTTGAATGGGAAAAACACAGAAACAGGAAAGTTGCTGCAGCTTGTGAACTGATGGTCGCTTCCTCTGTTGTTTTGACATGCGAAGCATGACGGTGTTGAAAGGTGGCAAAGGTGAACACAAGTTTTGGCGATTGCCAAAACAAGTGCTTTTAGATATGGGTTGCAAGTTAAGCAAAAGACCCTACATAAGAGCAGTAAACTCTGACACCGTGAGCCCAATCTCCATAAAAGTTGGCACATCTACAGGTTTTTTCACCCAGAAGGTTCATGTGTTGTTAATTTTGTTGTAAGAGAGAGAGATGGCAAGAAAGAGAGAGAGGGAGAGATGGAGACAGAGAGAGAAAGTGAGAGGAGAGGAGAAAGACAGATGAATGGCAGAACAACGTCTACCAGGTTCTGCTAGTTATAATACATATCTTTCCAGAGTAGCATTAACCACAAGCTGCTACAAGGAAGAAAAATTTAATCTCCCCAAAAATCATACAAAGAATTAATTACCTCTATAAATGGAAAAGATACTTTATGTTGAAACAATTCTGGATGCTGGTTTTGAACCCAACGAGCAGCTTTCTTCCCAGACTCTTTTGCCATTGCAAAGGTTCTTTTCCCTACATTTGAGCTTGGCGTGAGAAATGGATCATCGTGGTACTTATAATGAGGGGCAGTTGTATCTCGTGTCACAGTGGCTGCCAAAGCCTGAAAAAAAAATTCTGGTAAATTAATATGTATGAATTTACATCAATATCTTTTGAGTCATAATACCTAGAGATTATAATTCCTTCCACTAAGAACCAATTTCAACAGTGCATGGCATATCAGATCATTTTTTGAAGTTTCATTTACAGACAATTCGTACCTTCAAAACATCAGTTGGCCCTCTCTTAATTCTCCGAGGAATTTTAATTTCTTTTGCTGATTCTGTCGAACTTTGTCGAACCAAATTGACGTACATCTGAAAGCTCCTTTGAGCGCAGCTTCTAGATTTAAACAAATCATTAAATGCAACGTAGGAATATTCAATAAATAATAATATAAAATAAGAAGTATAGTTTGTCGTTTACCGAAACGTGGTACTACTGAGAGAAGACATCATTGCACCTTTCGCAATAAAGTGTGGAGTAGACAGAGATACTAGAAGTCAGTAACAAAATATTAAACCAGGACTCCTTCAACTTCAAATCGACTCCACATCACTACCAATATCCAGTGAATGCCATTCACTCACCGACACTAGTACACGCTATTTTCTTTCCTGCATTGACCATGCGTAAATCAGACAGTGTTATTACGATTGTAATGTATAATAAATACACGGTGAATTGTTTACCAAGACTAGGAAGTGATTCAAACTGGTGCGGAGAGCACCCTCTTCGCCCTCTTCTCTTTGCTTGCACTGGTGGTGGGAATCAGGTGGGGACCGGCGATCGGCCGCAGTGAAGAGCCCGCTTTTAACATTTCATTTGTCGTTACAAGGTGGCCAAAATGTGACATCCAAATTCGCGCTGCTCTGAGAGTGCGAGTTTTCTCGTGTGTGGTGTGGTATTAGGTTTCCGTAGGTTTCCTACTGTGCTATCGTGTATTAGTCATAAAGCGTGTTATTATTTTCTGGTTTTAGGTTATAAAGCCCTAATAATAATAATTGTATGATGGTTATTTATTAGATCATTTCTCATAACATATGCTTTGGAGATTCAGAAGAATCTAATACAACATGTTTGGTTTTGGCATTTCTGGTATTAAAGTCATTGCTGATGCCTTGAAGCTTTCCGAACGGGTAGTTATTACATATTCACAATTCCATAGTGGACGAATTGATTATGCATGGACCAGAGAAAAGAATGGATGTGGAAAATGGTTGCACTACAATAAAAAAATTTATCCTCCTCAAACTCCTGATGAAGAACCCAGATCAGCAGTATGTATTTTCTTTAGTATGTATCAAAGGAAAAATAAAATTAAGAAACTAAACAATATATTTTTCAGTTTGTTTGTCATGTGAAGAGAAATATTAAATACAGTCCTTGGAAAATGTGGTATATAGCTTGCCTGGTAAGAGGATTAACTGTTGAAGAAGCTGTAAAACAGCTGACATTTATAAATAAAAAAGGAGCTGGTATTGCCAAAGACACGATTTTGGAAGCCCAAGAACTGGCTGTCTCACAACATAATGTAGAATACAAAACAAATCTTTGGGTTGGTGAGTATTGTTTCTTATGTACACATTTTTTGAATCCAACTTGCAAATCACAGAGGTACTTTACCTAATGCATTTGTTGAGAGTCTTAACTCTTAACCCTTTGAGGTCATATACGTTTGGTAACAAACATCCTACACATCAAAAGGCTTTTGTAAGATGACACGATGTCGAAGGTTGTCGGCTCAGTCCTACAGTACAAAAGGCATCTTCCAGATAACTGCATTCAATCTGCTGGAGGGCATCTCAAAGATGACAGCTGCTTTACTTCTTATTTGTAGACAAGAACTCCATCTCTTTGGGTGTGAAACAGCTCAGAGATCTAGGTAAGATCTCTGAGCTGTTTCACACCCAAAAAACATTCAAGGGAGATTTGAATGTAAAAATGATTTCTTTGATTGATAATTCTGACATTTATCTTTGTACTAAAAATAAAATGATTGTTTTCTTTAGTTGTTTATTTCCCAAATTATGCAATCCATAAATTTCAATACTAAAGCATGTCAATTGTCGACCTGCATGATTTTGAAGATTAAAGAAAATATATTGCCATTATAAACATTTTTACTTGAATATTTAATTCATTGTGAAATTATAGCAAAATTAATGACAAATGAGTTCAATATTGTCAAAATACAGTGCCAGTTGAATAGAATAAAAGGCATCTACTCGTGAGACCATGAAATAATGGCTGAGCTGACAGAAGTGCGAAGTGCACCAAACTTTCAGTCACCATGCTATTTTCTTTTGTCATCTTACATGTGCCCTTCGACCTGCAGGACAACACACTGCCTGCAGGCATACGAACTGAGAAATCGTTTCAATATGTTGTTTCAGACATGCCGTAAGAGTACAAAGGGTTAAAAGTATGGTGTAGTGTATTTGCATATTTACAAAATAGATGTAAATATGAAGCTTGATTTTTTAACACATTTGTGTGTTAGTATTTAGGAGTTAAGGGATGGAGAAAAATATTCCAAATTTCAAAACTTTTCAAAATTTACCAAAAACTTCATAGATTTTTATATTCTATGAAAAACCTCATGCAGATGTTAAATGACATAACCTTTTCTGTTTCAGCTGAATCATTTGTTGGCAAAGGCCATGTTGTAAAGGGATTTCGTCGACATGCCCGGGCTCGTTTTGGCAAAGTAGAATATTTTCATTGCCATTATTTTGTTCGTCTTGAGGAAGGAACTCCTCCTGAACATTATTACTACCATACACGACCTTTAACTGGTTCTGAAATGTTAGATAACTGGTTGCAAGAAATGAGGAACCGAAGAATATTTGGTGGATTATAAACAAGATACATTTCATTTTTATAGCAAATATTTTAGAACGCTATATTTACTGACTTCTAACGTTTGTTTACATTCAGTAATAAATGTGTTTATTAATAGTGTTACGAGTTTCATTTCTAAAGGTCACAGTTAGCCCTTGGAGAATACCCTTGGGTTTTACTGAGCCCTGACCTGTGATTTAGGATAATCTTATGAGTAAACGGAAGTTTCTTGCTGTTTACTGCCTACAACGCCAAAAGAGGTTTAAAGAGTAGAGTTCAATGAAAAGGATATTGCTTTATTCCTTCCTCTGCTGAGATTTGTGTTTATTGTAGATGTTTGGTATTCTACAAATATGCTTTAGTATTGTGTTGGTTCATTAAAATCTCATATGTAACTTTAACACTGTAAGTATGTATTGATCCTTTCGCTCTGTAATCTAGTTCTATCTAAGGGCTCTTTGGGTTGTTTTCTCACGCTCATACTTAGCAAAAGTTATGCAATGTTGCAAAAAATCCATTTTTTAATAGAAAGACAATTTTTGGTTTTCCTTGTAACAAAACTATCCCCCCCCCCCACCACATACACACTTTTACTGTTGCATCTTTTATCCACGCTATCACCTAATCTGATTAGAGGATTTTTTTTTCAAAATAAATATTCTTAATAGATTTGGCTTAACTTAAGGACCTGCAAATTTCAAAGCAATCCTTTATATCAAAGAGCCATATGATAACATAGCTAATTTTACACATTAGAAATTTTCTCATAAAAGGCTCCAAATATTTTCTTTAAATTTATTGTTCAATGTACAGGAAAGGGCACTTACAAATGTGATAAAAGTCCAGTACATTCAACAATTTTAAAAAATTGCAAAAGTTGAACAGTTTTTGGAATTTCTCAATGTATGGTAATAGTTTGAGAAAAATGTTAACCTCTACAACTGAAAGTAATCATTTTTCTCACACTGGAATCAATTTTTCAAATCAGAGAAAATCGTCTGAACAGATTAGGCACTTGACCACTGTCAGACTGACCTTTTGTCGTCAGTCCATTTACCCAGAGGCAGGATTAAGGGGGGAGGAGGCAACTGTTCTCCCAATGTTGGGACAATTGTTTTAAAAATATATTTACACACTTCATTTCGCGAATCTTCAAATTTATATTATTAAAGATTTACTTTTTCTGTATTTTGAGGAGAAATTTAATAATAATTAAGCAAACAATTTTATTAAGCTGAACTAATAACATACTTTAATAAATTGGTGAACTTTAGTTCAGTGTTATAAAATGAATGTGATAATGTTCAGCGTCTTCGTGAGTATCCCATATTAATAAATAATCTTTCTATTATTTTGGTTTTAATTACTTAAAAATTAAACAGTTTCATGCCTAAAATCATGCGCCATAACACTTGAATTCTCAAAAAGAAAGAGTATTTCATGTTTATTATACACGTATGATGCATGGAACTCAAATTTCAAAATATAAAACAAAATTCAAGCAGCTACAATATAATAAACTAGCAGAACTTGGCAGAGGTTGTTCTGCCCTTCATCTCCCTCTTTCTCCTTCCCTCTTCCTTTCTCTCTGTCTCACCGTCTCTCCCTCCCTCTCCAACTCCCTCTTTTTTTTCTCTTCCTCTCTCTTTCTGCCCCTGACTCTGTCTCTGTGTGTGTGTGTCTCTCTCTCTCTCTGACCCTCTCATTTACATTTAGTTGCAGATTCTGCATGTCTCTGAGTAGATGGGGTAATATCAAGGAGCACTGGACCAGCAAAAATGTAATAAGAGTTCAAGATCTTATCTTGTAGACTACAATGTGTGAAATTTTTCTTTGAAGCCTGGTCTCAGAATTTTAGATTTTAATAATCTAGAAAGCTTTGTTTAGGAGTTATTTAACAATATAATTTAAAAATGCTGCTGAGGGTTGCAGGATGTATTTGTCATGAATATTTATTTTTCTTCTGCAGCGACAGTGGAGTTACAACAAAACTAACAGCAGATAAACATTTTGGGTGAAAAATCATGCAGATGTTCCAACTTTCATGGAGATCGGTCACACGGTTGTGGTTAACCACTGTTATACAACATCCAATTTTATATATATTTATAAGGTATGCAACAAATAAGTATTGTGAGCGAAACATTATTAAAAAGTAAATTGTTTAATGTAAGCATTTATATACTGCTTTTCATAGTTTAAAAAAATTATATTATTTAAACATAGAGAATTTAAATTAATTTTTTATAAAAAATACTTATAATTAATATTTTGAAAATCTATGTTATTCTTACATTTGATTTTAAAAAAATGAATATGTACAGTATATCTTAAGTGATTCAAAAATATTCTAAACACTTAATTAACTTCTAAACACTTATTAACTTCTAAACACTAATACACTTAAATAATTAAATTAATTTTCAATAGAGTGCTTTTTTAATAAATACACATCTAATAAGTTTAAAAATGTATCGTAATTGAAATAAAATCTTATATATACACAGGGTTCTGCAAGAATACTGCAAAAATCCAATAGCTACATATGTACATTGCCAAGCTCATGTAAGTTTTTGCACAGGAGTTACAGCCATGAGGAGCACATTTCACCTCATTCAAAGTCTTTTATAACTTTATTGAAAAACCAGCTAAAAACATTTATAGTGTATATATCAAGGGTGTCTAACTTGCAAGGCTGAAAGAGCCAGCCTGACGTTGCGTGGGCTACTACTCCATACAAATTCTTGTTCTACCAGGGGGCACAAGTCCCCGCGGTGAGTCCCTAAGCCTTCCCCTTTTTTCCTCACCTCCGACGTACTCCGCCAGGCTGGTATCCGAATCCTGCCGGAACGCGGTTTGCCCTCACGGTAACCTCCCTATTTAGTGCTTGGGTTGGGGCTGCCCTGCCAGCTCAGAGTTACTAGCTTTCCGTGCTAGTACCGGAGTCGAATCGATGCACCGGGGACAAGTCCCTCCTCTTTGCCCAGAGTATTGGGCCACTGCCACGACGAAGTCGAGACCTCAACAGTGGGCCACCCGAACTAAGGCTCGGAGCCCCCTTCCCGTCTCCTCGCTGCCTATACCAGTAGGCTATTGACGTATCGCCAGAACATGAGCAACCTGGCGGGTGGTCTCATGTTCTCGCTGAAATTTTACGAGTAAATGTGAATTTCAGAGTATTCCATAGAATCTCCTTCACCTTATCCTCCCCAAAGGTCGACGCGCCATTGGCCAGACTAGTGAGTTACCGGACAAACCCAGCCACCAGGAGCTTAGATTCATCTACTCACTGCCTCCTTCTTGAAGCTATCGACGTGAATGCCGCAGTGAAACTCAAGAGTCCGGGCGGTCGTCTACAACTCTCCACCAGAGACCGTGACCACCTTCGCAGTTACGAGCCTCCCCTGAGTTGCAGGGGGCTTGAAGGGACAGAATTAAAATTTTTAATATGGTTGCAGGCCGTATTCACAGTACTCGGGCGATCCACACCCGACTTCCTCCACTTTGTTGATTTCGGCAGTGTGCCCGGCTGCTCTGAAACGGGAGGGGGGGGGGAGGAACCACATCAGACCGTTCAGCAACATCAGGCCGTTCCATGCATAACGCAGAGAAACACACTGGAATACTTTTGAATATCTGAATTTACCAGAAATAAGTTTCGTAAAATATATACTTAATATTTTTTTATAACAAGAGAGAGTGTAAGCCCCGACTGGGCGTGTGCGCTAGGCGGTTCATGTTCGACACGGAATGGCACCGCGGGCCAGTACTTGGGCAGCCCTGGTGTATGTAGTGTATACAGATGCCTGGGAAGGAAAATAAGCTCTTAAGACAACTTTAAGGATATTTTGTTCATAAACTACTTGGATATTCTGAATGGCTGAGCTGCAATCAGCACTCAAAAGATAGTTTGAAAAAGTGTTTTTAGGAACAAATGTGCATTGCAGAAGCATAAAACACTTCAGAACCTGTAAATTGTTTACTATTTACAAATGAAATAAATACATTTGTTCAGAAAGAACAAAATTAACCCAGAAATTAAAAAAGCACTCTCACAATTCGACTCCTTTTTCTCTTTCTCAGTTAATTTTTCTTTCTTAACAAATATATTTATTTACATAGGCATGAAATGTGCTTAGGACGCGGCCCTTCCTTGTAAGCCAAGTATTTAACGAGCTCCCTATTTCTGTGGCAGAGAAATGGAAAATGCCCATACAGACGGGCTGTATACACGTACGTTTGGTTTATGGAAACATAGTTGACCTAATGTCCGATGCAAACGCTGTTGAACGCAATGTCAAAACGTCAAAAACTGTCAGAGGAACTAATGTCGATCCCTTCATGGCATGTGGCAAAAATCGTTTATAGCCGCAAATGTTTACCTCATGGCTTCCTCAGGGTCTCCTTAAATTCGCTTCGCAATTCTCTTAGAGGTTTGCGATTTGAGAAAATATTGCTGATAATAACGCAAAATTTGTAAGTGGATAAAACCTTAGCATTAAAGAAATTACATTGTGTTCTACTATTTTTGTAATGAATTATTTTTTTTTTAGTTTCGTCCTTCATTTTGACCTGATACCCATAGTTTTGTTATCTTTATTTTTTTAGTAAATGTCTTTTTTAAATTCTGTTGTGACTGTATGGCTCTTCGCCTTCTTTTGGGCATTCTGAGTATTCAAGTATCATATTGTACTTGTATATAAATATGGAATAATACTCCATTAAATTTCGTCTTTTGTCTCGTAAGGTCGCAGTCAGTCATTGCCTTTTATCCCTTCGGCCAAGGGTTCGCCACCCATAGTAACAGGGGTTTCCAAACCATCACCCATCCAGTAATCCGTGGTGTCTTGAGTTGCTTAACTTCCTGACTTCACGGAACACGTAGTTAAGCAATTCGGCTAACAACGCCGGTAAATCTGGAGTTCTTTTTTCCTCAGGGTGGAACGTCAATACGATTTTATGCTTGGGGCCTCGCATTATCCATCCATTATCAGCCCTCCTGAAATCAGTCACTACGAGTTCGCAAACATAATTATGCTATCTCAATTTATTTGGAAGCTTGTACATTTAGTATTCTTCACTTGATCACAATTCCATTGCAATGACTTATCGAAAAGAGTTCTCTACGCAGTACCGTTCTCTACGCAGTACCGTACTGATGCATCCCAACAGTTCAGTGAAAAGGCTACGTATACTTACGACGGGACAAAGAATGTTCTGAAAGATTTTGAGAGCTTGTAAGTGAAACAAATTGACAATCCTCATGAATACTCCCTTCGGAAAACGACGGATATACGAGGCAATATGTGCAATGGACAAGGATTTTACATCTCTGAATTGTATTCAAGAGAACTGGGAGACCAAGCATCACCAAAGCGGACAGGCTGAGTTACGGACTCAGATACGTTTACAAGGAAAGATTTCAGATAAAAGGCAATATGTAGACCCGACATCGCCAGACTCCTGGCTAACAAAACCTGCCCTCTTAGCTGAAATAGAAAGCTTAGTCATTTCCAGAGCTTGGATTCATATGACCTAAAAATTCTTTGAAAATAGCCTACAAAAAGATTTAAAAACAATAGGAAAATTACCTAAAAACTTAAAAATAAGGAGAAAATGATCTCATTAAAAAAAATACTCAAAAATTTGTATGAAAATATTTACATATTCAATGAACTTTAGTTTTAAATAAAAATTATTTATATAAAATTATGTTTACTATAAAGTGCTCATTTTAGGAGAAAATATAATCTGTAGCTCCAATCTTCCAACCTACGGTTTTGAAACGACGAGGAAGTTACCGAAGATTCGTGTAATTTTCAGAGTTCGAAAAACAGAGTTCATTGTTATTGTGAATTTCGCCATGAAGTGATGGTACAATAAAAACTTTGTTCTAGTGAGTCACTGCAAAATTCATGAAACATTCACTGAAAGGAAAAATGGGTAAAAAAGACGCAAAGTTCCAAATGTGGCATAAAAATTGAAAATTGGTAAAAAATGACAAAAATGATTAAATAACTATAATCCAATTACCTACATTTCTATCACCTATATGCCATAATAAACATTCATTTACAAGTTAGCTACGTCTACAATGCACCAATGAAAAGATGACATGTCATCAGAATTCGAGCCCTGGTCATTTTCCATTCAGGACAAAGAAACCTCTGGTATGTAAACACTGCCGATTTTGCAATCAACCAGTCGAATCTGTTCAACACATAACGGTGAAAGCACTGGTACAACGACGTTGCTGCAGCGCAGAAGTCCATCAGACCCAGGTTGCAAAGTTAAGACATATTAGAGAAAGAGGCCCAAATTAAAAGTACAAACCGGTCTGAGCAGACGGAGAACTGCAGATGAATCATTGCAATCTCCTGTGCGGCCAACACAGATCGCAGGGTCATGAGCGATCCGGCAGAAATAAATAGTTCTTATTGATGTCGAGGCTCTAGCCATTCTGTCATGACTGCTTTCCGATAATTTAATGTATTACAAATAATACGTCATTAAAAATATTAGTAAGCTATAAGGAAGGGGTTCTTACAAGTGTGTCAAGCAGAGGCGGTATTTCAGATCTTTTATTGGGGGAGGGGGCAAATTTGGGCGCTATTATAAACACTAAAATATTCGTTTATATTAATGCTTTAAGTTATTTGTGCTCCAATTATATACACAGCTTAAAATTTTGTCAATTATTTACTTGACTATTATTGAATATTATTCATTACATCAGTTGAACACAAAGGTGACAATCCGCATTATTTTAATGGTCCGAACTGTAAATTTAACAATGCCTTTTTCACAGTGAATCATATATCGAAATATTGAAAATGTTAATCATTTATTATGATCACACGTGATTATTCATAACTAGGATACATGTTTTAAAATTTATATTAATAAATTATTTTAATTAAAATGCAATCTTCTATTTTTGGCAAGTTCGAAAGTATTTAGTTTTATTTATAGAGGAGAAGGGGATAATATGGGCCTCATTTTTATTTCGACTATAAAAGGTGAATTAAAGGGTCTTTAAAAAACAAATATGATAACTTGATCTTCAACATTTGTGTAAATTTTATAAAAAATGAACTTTATTAACTGTTCAGAAAGAGGGTAAAAAAATCAATTATTCAAAAGAAGTCATGTTTGAAACACTAGAGAGGCTACAGAATGGCACAGACTTCCTTGTATTTGTTTTCTGTTTTCTTTGGTCTCGCCTAGGTATTCGGACTTTCCACATACTCTTGCTAGTTGTCATCTGTCGCCGCCCTAAGTACATTTTTTAAACACTTTCTTAATTTTTCGGTTTTGTAATAGAACGTAAATATCATTTTACGAATATAAAACATGAGTTAAACTTCGTCCTAAATGGCAATGTTCATTGAAAAATTGTGAGCCGTTTTTATGAAAATGACGTTTAAGCGATACTATAAATTTGAAATTTGAACCTCTTTTCACAGAAAACTATTGAGTTTTCGCAAACCTTCATATGAAGTCATTTCAAGCGCTTCCAGACACAAATGCAATAGTATTTACAAATCGCTGAAAATGTGATTATTAAAGATTTGAGAAATATTTCAAAAAATTACACTTCTATAATTTTTGAAAAAAACAAAAGAATATCCCTAAATCAACTTTATGTCATATTAAACAGTGCAAAGTTTGGAGCTTTTTGAAAACTCAAAAAGATTTCTGTGAAAAGTGCTTTAAATTTCGCATTTTCAGTAACCCTTAAACGCCATTTTCTTAAAAACGGCTCCAAATTATTGAACAAAATTTCCGTATATGACTATGATCTACACTTCTTTAACATTCTTGAAGTAATATTTAGCTTCTATCGTTAGGAAACGAAAAAATTGATAAAATAAACAAAAATATACTTTGGGCGTCGATAGATGGAAGCTGGCGAGAGGATGGGACAAGAAAGTAAGCTTGCCCAGATCAACGAAACTAGAAAACTAACTAGTACGAGAAAGTCTGTGCCATTCTGTAGCACACCTAGTTATTTTCTCGTGTACGTACGTATATACGGAGTAATATACGTAGTATAAAGAATGTTATGGAATGCTGCGGAAAATCGATTTCGAGATTTCATCGATAATACACGTTTTGTGACCCCCTAACCCTTTGTGGTAGGATCCATTTTATAATTAAACGTCCTACAATCGGAGGGCATTCGTAAGATGACATGGCGTCAATGGCTCTCAGCTTGGAGCTTTCAGAAAGGTGGCTCGCCCTGCAGGTCGAAGGGTTTCTCTCTAATGACAATGTCCCTTCCGTGATCCAGTCGGAGGGCATCTAAGAGATGACAGGGGGTTTCCTTCATATTCTAGATAATCTCTCCATCCAACGATGAGAGTGTGGCGAATCGAAAATACGTAGATGAGTCTATCGAAAGACGTACGCAAACTATTTGATCTAATATTTCTGCACACTCATTCGTGTCTTTTTCTTGAAGAGTATTGCATACGATTCACTACGGGATGATACCACTATTTTGTAGCTGTAACTAAGTGCAAAATGGTCAATTTGGAGGACGTATATATATATATATATATATATATATATATATATATATATATATATATATATATATATACAGAAAATGCAAAAATAATTCCTGTATCTGTTAATCTTTGAGATAAAATCAAACAATTGTTTTCTTGTATCGTATCGACTTGTTTCTTTCCGAAAATATACAATCAATACATTTCACTTCTAAAGTGAAGTGTATTTAGAACATGATTTTCAAAATTAAAGAAAATATATGGTCATTTTTTGAATTTATTATTAAAATAACAAGTTCATTGTGAGGTTATAACAAAACTAGTAATGAAAAATAAAGATTTTGCTTAAAATATAAAGCCAGATGAACAAAATGTCAGCGTCTGCTCGTGAGATCGCGAAACAATGTCCGAGCTGATGGAAGTGCGAAGCATGCAAACGCTCCAAGTCAACGCGCCATGTCCTTGTGTCATCTCGGAGATGCCCTTCCACCTGTAGGACTACAGAGATAAGTCTTAATAAATAGTATGTTCAATGCAATTATCTTAATTTTTGTAACCCCCCCCCCCGGGCACAACACAGCCCGATGCGGCGTAAAATTTACTTTGTATAGAGAAGGGCTTTCCAGTCCGCCCAAGCACCCCCTCCCCCGTTCTAGGTGTTCTTCTCCCCTCTCTGTACCTATAATGGGGAGGGGGGGGGGGAAAGCAGTTGCCCCATCCTACCCCCTGAATTCCGCCTGTAGTGTCAGCAGTTGGAGGATGGTGGTGGGAAAAAACCTTTGCAGGGCATTTTTACTTTCTAGCATTCTTCTTACGGAGTATATTATAACAAATATTATGAGCCTCTGTAGTATGTGACTGTAATGCTGCAGCAAGAAACTCCGATTTTTTTTATTAAAAAAAAAACAATGAAATTCATTTTGTCAGCCTTTGATATTGAAAATGTGGAAAATTCTTAGTCGTATTTATAGTAAATATTATCTTCCTCTAACACGCTGTATAGTCAGAATTCACATTCCCATCTATGAACAAAGCTAGCGGATAAACCGTCAGCAGGATTTTTACAAAAATTAATAATTTCCAATTGATCTTGCTTACGTCCCGGCTCCTTGTATTTGAAATGGACTCGCACTCCATCGTCTTCACGCACTCGCCTAAAAATATTAGGCGAATGCATGGAGGAATATATAATACAGTATTCCTCCATGGCGAGTGTTCATTGGATTGCGTTGGATTGGTTCGGTTTTTCTTTTGTCACTGGCCAGACGTTCTTTGCATTGCAAAGCAAGATATTCGAGACCGACTTTACGTCAGAACATATCGAATGAGAATCGAACACGTAACTTCGATATTGCCTAAGTCAACCGCATCTGTTCAGGGAAGTGCCGAGGTGCGATTGTGTATTTATGGATTATTTTCACCGGTTCTACAATAATTTCTAAGAGATAATGGATGTACTAGGAAACATTCGCAGTTTCAAAGTTTCGTTATTCTTCTTCATTCTAGTGAGTATATTTGGAAAATTATGACTATTCGTTCCGTTTGTAGATTCCTTCCATGTACTTTCTTGTAAATAAATGCCACGACACTAACCTAGAACCACCGAAGATGACATATCGGTGCATTGTCGAGGGCTTGTATACTCCATAAATATCGGTGACGTAAACTCATTCAATTACATATTGTACGAGATGTATCCGGCGGTGAATTTCCAGCCAATTGTATTGGGCACTCATATCCATGTAATACTGATTTAACTTCTTCACAGTATTGAAAATTGGGTAGGAAAAGGTTAAAATACTTTGCCCTAATATCGAGAGGCTAAATTATATGTTATATATGAACATTTCTGTTAATAAAATTTGATAATGTATTTACAGGTTACATATTTTATATACAATCCTACAGATAGTGGAGCAGTTCAACTAAATCAAGGGAACTTGGACACAATATTAGGTGAGTGAGCTCTGTACAAGGTTAAACTACAGTGTATATACCTTGAACTATTTGCTTGTGTTTGCTGTAATTATTAATTTCTTAAATATGTTTTCAGCTACTAATGAATTAGTTTTTATCAACTTTTATGCCGACTGGTGTCGATTTAGTAACATGTTAGCTCCTATATTTGATGATGCTGCTGATAAAGTAGCAGCAGAATTCCCTGAACCAGGACAGGTTGTAATGGGAAAGGTTGACTGTGATCGAGAAGGTATGTATTGTTAATATGAAATTTGTAAAATTTTATTTTGAAATTCACATTCTTTTAAGAACATAATTGCAAGTAATTTTTGATCAGGTTCAGTGGCAACTCGTTTTCATATAACGAAGTATCCTACTTTGAAAGTAATCCGTAATGGACAGCCCACTAAGCGAGAATACCGTGGTCAAAGATCTTCAGAAGCTTTCATCTCTTTCATCCGGAAGCAGTTGGCTGATCCAATAAAGGAATTTACAAGTTTAAAAGAATTAGAAAGTATAGATGTATGTTTCAAAATTTTATGAAATAGTGCTGTATTTTATTGTGCTTTTTAAATGTGTTCAGAGTATGGATTTATTTCATTTAGGACAAGAAGCGTACTGTTATTGGATACTTTCATAGAAAAGATGTTCCAGAGTACAATAATTTCAGGCGTGTTGCTACAAATTTAAAAGAAGATTGTCAGTTTTTTGTTGGTTTTGGGTAAGAGTTAAATTGTTCAAATTAAATTTACGTTTAAGGCACAAAAATGTTATAGCTTTCAAAGTGTTATTTGTGTAATGCAATGCTTTTTGTTTTAGTGCTCCTGTAGAACAAATGCATCCTCCTGGACAGCCAATTGTTGTTTTCCGTCCTGATAAAGCACGATCTAATGATCAAGATGAGACATTCATGGGAAATTTAAATGTTTATGATGAGGTAAATGTGTGGGTTGCTGAAAAATGTGTTCCTTTGGTACGTGAAATTACCTTCGAAAATGCTGAAGAACTTACTGAGGAAGGACTTCCATTCCTCATACTGTTTCATAGACCTGAGGACAACGAAAGTGTTAAGAAATTTAATGACATTGTCCACAAGGAGCTAATAACTGAAAAACGTAAGACATGATATTCAATTTGATGTATTACTTTAGTTGATTAAATTATGTATCTCAATTTTGTGTTTCTTTTTCAGAAAATGTAAATTTTCTTACTGCTGACGGTGTTAAATTTGCTCATCCTTTACATCATTTGGGAAAATCACAATCAGATCTTCCACTGATTGCCATTGACAGTTTCCGTCACATGTACCTGTTCCCTGACATAAAAGATATGGAAATTCCAGGAAAATTGAAGAGCTTTTTGAACGATTTACACACTGGAAAACTTCACAGAGAATTTCATTATGGTCCCGACCCTGTTACGCATGAAATTCAAGTTACTGCTAAAAAGCCTACATCTCCTCCAGAATCAACATTTAAAAAGCTTGCTCCTTCCAAGAACCGCTATACACTTTTAAGGGACGAGTTGTAAAGCGATTTTTGCCTAAATACTTGATGTGGGGTCGTTTTGAAAACCGGTTTTTGATGAGTTTGTTATAAATTGCATTCTGAGAGAATGGAAATATCACTGGAATGGTAAGTTTTGGTACATGCCTGTGAGGCTGTATTTATGTGGAAATAACAAAAGTAATTTGTAAATAAATTTGTCATGTGAATGAATATAATACTTGTGAAAAAGACTTGAAGAATTTGAAGTTTTAGAAAACGTGGGATGTTTTGCTTGTGGTTGTGTGGAAAGTTCTTCGAGAATATTCTTTTGTGTGGTGTCCTTTTTTTGTCACTTTTTTGTGCACCGTTCACCTGTTTTGCAAAAACTAATTCTTAAAATTTATCAATCACTGAAGGAAGAATAATTGGTATTATTGCCTAGGGTTTATTAATTGAAACTACTTGTCAAGAAAGGTGTGTGGTGCATGTTCAGAAAGAGTTAGGTTAACTGTGTGATTGTTTTCTGGTAGAATGTGCGTGTGGTAGCTTGTTAATGAATTGTTAAGTGTAAACTGTACGAATTGTTCAACTTTTTATATGAGGTGGATCCGTCCATGTAGTTATCACTGATCAGATTCCATTATCTTACAATCGATAGAAACCATGTTGTGTCACACTTGCTGATTAATTTGCCAAGACTGCAATAAATAATTTCATTCAATTACAAAGGATGTAAATGCAGCATTTTTTTAAAACCTAAAATGAAGGGAAAAAAATACTGATGATTTAGAAGAGGGTACCCAATAGGTTAAGACAGACATACATCCTATAAGTTATGCATTGTACTTAGAAAAATCAATACAATGATTAGATAATTTTACAATAGAGGAAAGATGCTTTTAGATAATGCTATCCCCTCTGTGATGTAATTGCTCCAAGAATATACAAATATTAGATATTTTAGTTTCATAGTTCCACTAATTTCTCAAAAGCAAGGTTTTTTTGGGATTCATACGTATAATACAGCAGTCAGTCTTGTTTGTTAAGGTGTTAAAGTTTTCGCTCTTCCAGGCACTTTCGTTGTGTCACGTCTGCACATCAGATGAATGCTAGATAGATAATTCCTAAATCACAAAGTCTTGTAAAATAATTGTGACATTAAGTATTTTGTAGAATGTTTATTGTAATTTTATTGATTTATGTGAATGAAAATTTGTTCAGTAGTACCGCCACTGCAGGGGTGGATCTGCCTCATGTGATTGTAAGCCTTACGCAAGCTGGAGGCATTATTTTACTGTCTATTTCAAGAGATATGTTTCATAAAAGAAAAATTAATATTTTTTTAATTCTCAATAATTCTTTCTGAACTGTACTACTCTTAATACCTTTTTTGATTACTTCTGTGCTTAATGTTCTTGTGACTTGGTTCTTTTTGAGCTGACAGTGTTTTAATGTCCACTTATTTTTCTTGACGATTGCATGGTTTTGAAAATTTGTAAATAAGGGATTAAGTTGTGACTTCAATCATTGAACAGTACAGTTCACAAAATAGAATTTATGTATACATAATCTTTAAGTATTGTTTTTTCTGCATATACCTCAACAATTGAGTGAACTGCAAATTCAAATTACAGTTTGTAGAAGGAGTAATTCTACATGCGTGTAATAATCATTCAGCATTTACTGATCAGTGCTTATAATAAAAATAATAATAATAATAGAATGATTTAAAATACTTAAAACTGAAAATATTTTTTTTTATATAGAAAGAGTTGAAATTTCTGCAATTGTATAATATTTTTGGAGAAGTTTATATTCTTCTTCATGTGATATGTAAATTACATGTGTTCTTGCAATTCCATTCTAACTAAAATGTATAATATTTCTGTACACAATCTGTGATTATTGTGTGTGTCCAATTTGTGTTAGGGAAGTGCTTTGCATTTTCCGCAAGGGTATGTTTTTCTGAGAGAAAACCTATTAATTGCTATTGTTAGGTTTCTGGCTGTTTTTGTCAAAAGGGTTTACCGTTCTCTTGATTACATTTCCATTTATATAGTTTGTCACTTCAGATGACTTGGGTTTCAAGATTTTTACTATTTATGTACAAGTATTGAGGGTAATGCATACTGTGCGATCAGAACCTTCTTTTGATCCAAGAAATGTGAAGTATGAAGTTACAAGTTGTTAAACTATATGAATAATTAGTTTGATTGCTAGGTAAGTAACGATTTTATGTCGTGTATTGTTGACTGAGTGTGGATTGCTTCCTTCTGTCAAAATTTAATTAATGCTACCGAAACTAAAGGGAGATTTTAAAATCTTAGTAACAAGAGAACAAGCTCTTTTCTGATGAGTTATATTCCATAAAATACAAGTTGTTTCTCTGAGTATTACAAACTTGCATTTTGATATATACAGAGGAGTGTTATATTGCTCCAACTCCATAAAAGTCATTCAATTCGTTTTAAATGAATATTATCCTACAAAGAGGATTGTTTGTGCATTCAAGTAAATACTCTTTACAAAGAATTGTTTTGACAATAGATATATTAATATTTTTGTTATGAATTCTGAAGTTTATTGTTTGGTTAGCACAATTACACGATATGTTAATAGTTTCTTCAAAGATTGAGTTCAATCAGTATTTAAAAAAATATTAGGTTGAGAGCATGTTTATTAATAAAATTACTTTTTCTGATGACCAAACTCGAAATTGAAGAAGTAGTTAGTCAACGCAATTAGAATAAGAAAATTTCTTTTCTGTACATCTATCAATTGAAATGAGTCATTCTGTTATTTGTAAATAAAGATTTGTGAATATTTATCTTCTGTGTTCATTTATTTTTTACTTTAAAATCTGTTGGCTGGATTCTTTGTTCTTATCTTCACCTTGTTGGGATCTAAAGATATGAAAAGAAAGATCATCAAGAATTTTGTAATTGCGTTGTATATTCGTACACCTCTGTTTGGGTCAATACACTTCAGCATAGGACCCTTGTAGAATTATATAGTCTTGTGCGAATCAACACATGACCTGAAATTTTCTAAGTGATAATTGAATTGAATTCTTGTGATTTCAATGCAGATCTATAAAACTGTGTTTCGTGGTAGGTAGGAGGAGAAATTCAAGACAGAACTGGTGTCCCAATGGGAATAGTCCTTTGGAATGTGATGCAAGGAATACGCGATATTTGTTTTGAATACAAAATAAATTTGCAAAAATATGGTTTTGGAGGGGGGAACATGGCTCCCATGGGATCCGCGATCAAAGGTCAATATGTTCGAAATTATGTTCCCAAAGGTAAATGTGTCTTTTTAAAAAGATATAATTCGATACGATTTGTGTTTAACGATGGGAATTCACTTGCGTAGTAGCAGAAAGGGTCAAACACCTGAAAACGTCGTTGTCAGCAACGTAGCAAATCGCTCCGAGCTGCTCTGCTTACGCAAGCGAAGAGAGTAGGAGGTGTAAAAAGGCATTCTGACGTGGGTCATGCTCGGGTAAAGCCGTTCTTGAATAGCACCGTAGGACGGTCAGGCTTTCATTTTCGTGTTTTTGAAGTTTCCTTGAAGCCTTTTAAGGAAAAGGATGATAACAGCGGAAGTCTCTTAGTAATAGTGTCGGGCACGCATATGCTATTTTCTGTCTTTAATTACTTTCTAATGTTTACTGAGCAAATGGCTCAACTCGAAGGGGTTTTTCGTCCAGTTTCCTTTGATCTGTTGAGATGGTCCCTTATTTTTCATCTGGACATACTTCACTCGAAATTACTCCGATCTGCATTCATATTTGGCTCTTGATTACTCTCGTTTCTATCTCCAAAATCCCAGTTTCCTTTAGCCTACAATACTAATTCGGAAAACAAAATCCGTCCCCCAAACGATTAAAACGAAAACTGCCACGTCAGTTTTGACCCTCCATGACAAGCATTCACTGAATGTGATTTTTCACATGTTTCACTAATCATGGCTATTGATTACCAATATGTGTTCTTCAAATGTACAACTAATGTATCGTACCCGGCTGCTGAGGGCCTGCTGGCCAAGCGGAAATAAATAAAAGTAGCTTACTATCTCTGCGCGTTTTCATGAACTCTATGTGGTGTATGGTTATTCAAATAATCGTGCTCTCTGTTCTCGCGGCAGTTCCCGCGTGCTCCATGTTCCTTAACGCGGGGCACAATAAAGGATAAGAGCCAAAATCTGTAGATCATTTGCCATTAAAAACATTTTTAATTACAACGCAGAAAATATATTTTAACAAAAGCACTCATTATGTTAACTGTATTCATAATTCAACTTAGCCACGGTAGAAATTTAAGAGTTTTAAGTAACCGTGGACAGTTTGCGTTTCTCCTACGTATAATGTCATACAGTTTTGACTGTTTTTGACCTTACTTACTTACTTACTTATTTACTTCGGGAAATGAAATTGAGTAGTACTTGGTTTCACTCTCCCTGTTCAGAATGCCAGAAGTGTGCAGGTAGTGTGTATTCGCTTCTCCGGTTCATTCTAGTCTCCGATAAATGCCACTATATCGTGGGGGAAAATTTGTCTTGTTAAGTCCATGTGATTGATAGCAAGTTTGCGCGTATACATGTTAAAAATACCGTGGACAAAACAATCGCGTGGCAAAAATATCACAAGTGCGTTTACAATAAAGTAGAGCTAACTCTTTTGAAGGTCTACCGGTTATATAGTTCTATTATTTTCAAATGTAATTGTAATTTATCGCTTACTTTACATTCATTAAGTAAATTATTTTAATAGAGAAACAGGACCGACTATTCAACAAAAAAATAACAACTCAGTTTGTGGGTCTCTGATACTGAAAAAGTGGATTTTTCACCTAAACCGTGCACAAGATTATCTCTATATTCGATATTTTACAATTTATCTCGCTAATGATGCGGCCCTTCGAATTTAAAATGGATATTCTAATTTTTGCAAGTGTCATTTTCTCACGAAATTTTCTTACAGACAGCTTACCATGTTTACTTTCCCGTATACATACGTAGTATAGGGAAAGTTATGTAATGATGCGCGAAAAAACGGCGGACTTTCGGCAGGACAAAATTAAGTGCCAGGCCCTACTAACGAAAAAGTGGATGAATCCAGTTGCGAAATTAACAGAAAAACTCTAACACGTGATATAGCCATAATCCCTGTTTTGTTGGTCCTCGATACCGGAAAATCGTTTGACGGCAAAACATCCATCCGTCCGTCTGTCTGGTGTATGTGAACAGCACTAGCACCTAAACTAGGATTTTGGCCAAACTGAACAAACTCCTGTCGATTTGCTCTGAGTCAAATCTATGCAATTTTGAAAAAAACATTCATTAATTTTTTGGGGGTACTTTACATGAAGCTCCACGGACATTTTCAAAATTTTCTCAGAAGCGGCTCGAAATTGTTTTTATACATTTCTTGTAAGAGTAGAGTAAAATACACTTATAAAGGTGGCATATATAAGATTTTCACGGTTAACTCTGAATTTTCCAAAATTGCAAAATTTTGAATGTTTTGCGGTGTCTACCTTCAACTACAAAATTGAAGATAAACATTTTTCCTTCAAATGAAATTTGTTGCCCCCAATCAGTTCTTTTTTCAAAGTCACGTACATTTTTTGAAAATTTTAGTAGTTTTCGCGCAATATTGTGTGCAATATTTTCAATTTTAAAATATAACAAAAATAAGATTTTCTCAAAACTGGCTTCAAATTTTTTCCTTAAACTTTGCGAACGGACAGTGATAATTGCAATCTTTTATAAAAAGTAAAATTCATTTCGGTTAGTTTTTTTCCAAAATTTACACAAATGTAATTTTTTTGAAAGATTTCTCACGCCGTTAATACGAACATTTCCAGCAATTTGTAAACACTATTGTATTTGTGAATAAATGTTCTTCAAAGGACTCCTAAAGAAGTTTTTCGAAAACTCAAAAGTTTCCTTGGAAAAAGAGCTTCAAATTTCGAATTAACAGTAGCACTTGCACCATTTTCGTAAAATTGGCTCCAAATTTTTCTAAGGAAATTGCCATTTAGGTCGAGGTTTTACTGTTAATATTCTTAAAATAATATTTTCATTCTACTATTATAAAAGTACTTTAGGAGGCGACAGATGGCAGATGGCAAGAGTATCTGGCAAGTCAGAATAGCTAGCCGAGACCAAAGGAAATAGAAAAAGAATACGGGATAGTCGAAGCCATTCGGTAGCACCACTAATTTTTTATTTTTTTATTGAATAGATCCTAAAAAACCTTATAATAATGACGCAGGACCTTAAAAAGTTCTTAATGATGTCTGTTCTTTAAAATTAGAGCTGTAAATGATAACAATGTACATTTTTCGTAATAGTAGTTTTCGCGTAATTATGAGTAAAAGGGGACATTTTTATAAAAATGTACGTGTTTACAAAAACAACAACAACATTCGTTCGTTGGCTGAAGAGAGTGTTTCATGAAATGATTGAAGAATTGCTAGGATGCAATTGTAAATATATTACATAAATGGTCGTTACAAAAAATACGGGAAAGTCTGTCCTGTTTAAATACTGATACGCGCAGATATGTGGACCTGTTTTCTTGGTAAAATTAATATAAACATTAGGCTTTTACTAGAAGAACCTGAAGATGATTTATTGCTTCAGCTTCTTCAAATTTGCAAAATGTTTCTAGCTTAGCACTTCATGGACCTCGTAAAGTAACTAAAGAAAGAGGTTGGTAATAGCTCGAATTCCGTACTAGTGAGCCTTGCCTTCCACTAGTTACGGAAGACAGGCATCAAATTTGAAGCTCGTCCTTTAAATAGATATGCTCCGAAAGGAACGCGAGTGTCTTTCCAACTGGGATTGAATTAAACCACTGATTCCCTTGCTTTAAAAAAATCCTTTTGCTTTGCAGTCAGGCCCAGGTATCTGATCATTTACATTGCCTGTAATGATTTTGAAATCCAAATCGCGCTACTATAGGGGCCTATTATGAAGATTTCCATTGAAGAGCACCTTGGCGCACCTCGGACATCGCATGGGCGTATCTCTATCCTAATTTAAAATTTATTATTATTATTATTATTATTATTATTATTATTATTATTATTATTATTATTATTATTATTACGACACAGTGCAATATTGAAATTTGCCACAGAACAAAAATATGCGATTCTGATGTACTTCAGTGCCTTAGTAACAATGGCGAATACCATTGTTCGCTTCCACATAAACTTTATTCTAGAAACGCAATTTTATCTGCACTGGGTTGCGTTATTTATGTAGTCGAGGCGAAGCGTGTTGGGTTGTTTGTGCGTGTTCTTGTGATATTTGTACTAAACGATGTCTAGGAAGTCTGTTATTTCATCAGATTTTACTTTTGTTTAACAAAAGTAACAGGAATCTCAAGTAAATCAAAATACACAGTTTGTTATTCAAATTTGGGTGTGAATAATTCATTTTTGAATGTGCAATGCGCTCAGTTCCGCATTCTGATTCTCTCCAAAATCACCAAGGGAATGGACAATTGAAAATGGAACAGACGGTGGTAGTGAGAAACCAACAGATCATGAAGATCTTGGTTACACGGAACGGCACGTACCAGTTTACAATGCTGGCAATAATCATCTCGTACTTTCAAAACAATCGTAGCATTTCTCGTGGCACACTTTGGTGAGTTAGTTTACGCTTACAGTTGGTACGCCCTTTTAAGCCGTCCTCCTCTCCCCG